CTTGCCATAGCCGTCTAACGAGACTTGGAAGTTCATCAAAATGGATGTGTTGCTTTCTTAGTAGACATGGAACGACCTGAGGGTTTGTGGTTCCACGATGTGAAAAGAAAGTGTGTAATTGGTGAGATCATTGTATGGTTCGAAACAATTGCCTTAGTAGTTGGCATGTGAGGTTTTGATCATGCAGTGATGACCAACGAGTTTAGTATAAACGAAAGTGAAGGCGTGTCTACGTATTGCGTACGATGGACGGTGAAATCACTGTTTGTTTATACACGATAAACTCAACGTGGGTAGTAACGATCAAATGATCAATTCTACCAGGAACATGTTAAATTCGAGATTTGACATGAGAGGTGTGGGCTTGGCAGATTTAATCTTTGAGATTAAAATTGAGAGAAGACCGTATGGTCTCGTGTTAAGCCAATCTCATTGTGTTGATTAAATCCTTACAAAGGATGTTAATCAAGTGGCTTGGACACCGTTAGATACTAACGTACAACTAGCCAATAATCATGAGTATTGTACTTCTCATGGAGAATACATTCAGATTATTGGTAGTTTAATTGTATCAAATGGGATGTACTAGGCCAGATATTGCCTTTGCGGTTAACGAACTCGGTAGACATCCGAGTAACCCTAGTGTTATGCACTAGAAGGCAATAGTGAGAGTTAGGAGATACTTGAGGTATGCTCGTGACTTTGGACTGCACTGCGTGTAGATATCTAGTTGTACTTGGAAAGTATAGCACGTTAACGGGATATCAAAGGATGATAAATCCATCAAAGGCTACGTCTTTACGTAGGGCGGTGCAGTCGGTTAAACGGAAATTCTCGAACTGAATTTGTGATAGCTAAGATCCGACGGGATCAAAGCTGAGAGCCTTACACTCGTGTCGCGAGCGAGTAGGCCGAATGGCTATGCCATTATTTCGAGAATGTTCCTAGTGGTGAACTTGTACCTCCAATTTGTGTGCATTGCGGTAGTCAAGCCAAAATTGGTTAAGTACAGAGTTAAATGTGGAATGGTAAGTCTAGACTTATAAGTCGTAGATATAATACCATTAAACAATTTCTCACAACGGGAGTTATCTCTATTGACTACGTGATGTCAAAAGATAACGTAGCGGCCGCTAACTCGCTAACCCGAGGGTAAGCAAATGGTTGTGGAGAAGTTGGAACGAGGAATGGGCATAAAGCCCTTGGACTAAAAGTTCTATAGTGGATACCCAACCTAGCTGACACCTAGGTTCAATGGGACAACTAAATTATGGAACGGAGCGTGTCACTGTGGGGGTCTCGGACTCCCTACCACTCCTCGTTAGAAACAGTGACTCCCGCGTAAGGTTAGCATGTTGATGCTTTAATGATTCGAATGTCGGTTGACATGTGTGAGTATGCGGGATACTCGGAAAAGAATCACCTATGTGAGAGAGAAGTGAGGGTCGCTTCAAAGGAGAATTGATGGGCAAAATTCTTCACAAACTCTTGCAGAACCAGGACGGTGACCCACGACCAAAATGAGCACACTCATGAGAACAGAGCATGGTTGGGAGGTTCCTGTGTGAGATATGTCATCGTCTACACAAACGGCAGTCGGTTCAAAGACATCGCGTTCTACCGTACAGCTAGTAGAGTAAACATGTCTTCACAAGGGAAGGTTCAAAGGGTATAGTGATCCCTACCTATCCTATGCAGGGATCGACCGTTAAACACAGTTGTTTCCGATTTCAAAATACCCTGAAAATCATTTTTCATTCATGTGGGGGATTGTTGGAAAAATAGCATTAAAATGATATTTTGAGTGATTATTTTGTGGTACAAATATATGTGGGATCCACTTCCGATTTGGGTCGGGTCAAGGTGGATTCGGGTTCTTCGTAGTGAGACGAAGAATTTGATATAATGTACGCTCAAAATGGGTAATAGGTGAATGAGAAATTGATTCTCAAAGTGAACCTATTTTGAGAGAAGTCAAAATCTTAAGATAGTTGCTAATTAAATTAGTAATTATTGTGATTTGTTGTACCCGAAATGTACAAGGAATAAGCTTAATATGATTTAGCTTTGGAATTGGGACGAAAGTTATGCAATGACTTTGCATGGACGAAAGTTGCTACATATAAGTAAGCATTGAAAGTGTAATTAGTGAATTGAATATGAGCTATCCTTTCGTGCTCCTTTTGAGCTCCTTTCGTGTGAGTTATCTTTCGTGCTGCACGAGTCAATGCTATGTGCATTGATTCGTGCCACACCGTTTCGGTACTTTGCGGACCATTCGGGTGTGGTTTTCGGTCCCAATTCGTTAACCTTTCGGGTTTGTACGGAGTTCTCGGTCACTCAGATATTTGAAACGGGACGTTATGGTCGGTACGAATTAATCGGATATTAAGTTCGTGACCGTTGATATTATTTTGATAATAAGTACGACCGTTTCAAACGTTATAATTCAATTTTTAAATTGAATTTATGTTGGTTAATGTGTCATAATAATGCTATTAAGTACCAACCTCCTATATAAGAGTGTAGTGGGAGTAGAGGCCTTTTTGACCTGCATAGTAAGAGACAACTAGTGAGGGAAGAACACGAGAGTACACAACACACAAAGATAAGCACTTTTTCTTCTCAAAAATTTTGCTCCTACTCCATTCTTGAAGCTGTGTTTTGCCCGTGCTCTTGTTCGCCGGGTTCGTTCGTTTGGGTGCTCAAACGTCGAACCGTTGTATGTTTTATCCTGGGAAACCTAGGCCACAACGCTCCTAGCACTTTTGGGAGGTGGCAAATAAGGTTTTAAGGAAAGACAGGCACCTTGCCTAACTCGTACATTTCCTTCTTCTTCTCCTTCTTTCTTGTTTTAGGATTATGCTCTAAGCAAAAATCCGTTCTTTCTTGTTGATTTGGAGTTATAATCTGAGGATTATAAGCTCCTTTTGGTTGATATATATTGTTATATCTTTCTCGTAGATATATACGTATATATAACCTTTGGATCCGTTTTATATATATATTTGTGTGTATATATATATTTCGGATATATATATCCAATAATATTTTATATATATTTCGTGTGTATATATATAAATATTATTTTAAGGGATATTAAATCGATTGTGGTTCATTATCTCCAACAGTTCCAGTAATGGCTTACCAAATTGGTCACAACATGTACCTATTTTGTAATGGCTTGAGTCTATGGGACAATTGAATAGACGTTTCATGTGCTAATCACTTACATGGATGGGTTGATTCACGACATTGAGGTCAAGAAATACATTGTCGGAGTTGGATCGGATCAATAATGAATGTATACGCTCCTATATCCATTCAAGAGCTATAGGGAATTTTATTTATATATTTAGAAAAAAGTTTCATGGGTAATAAAATAAATTTAAATGTAATATTTTAAAAAAATTATGGTGATAGAATAGAAGTAATCATAACGATTTAAAATTTAAAAATTTTAATTTATTTGTAAGTGTGAATAAAAAATTCTTCCAACGCGTTCTGCGTGTTTCAGTGGTCAATTGCTCGCAAATTATATATTGATATATATCTTGGGTTTTTATAAGCAGAACACTACATTTATTGTCTGTATAGTCTTTAGTCAATGTTTTATAAATTAGGTAACCTCGAAAGTCTAATATAAATTAATTTATTATTATTGAATTTATTTTTTAAAAAAATTGTATTTTATTTGTCCTTCAATTATACCTGTAGTACAGGCTTACTCCTAAGTTTTTTATTCTTTTATTTATTTTTTATTTTTTTGGAAAAGGTTTACTTCTGAGTTATATGTGTAATTATCTTTAAAATATAAGTTTATGAGTGAAGTGATAATATTAGTCCATCAAGAACTATTCCTCACACCAATATGTCCTTTAATAAATTGGCGGATTTGAGGAATACCATCGACCAAAGCAGAGAATGGAAAAACAAAGGCATTGTTTGGCAATCAGCGGTTAGCGAATTGTGTTAGCTGTTAGCAAATAACGGATTATATTAGCCGGTTTGATCAGCAGATTGTATCAACGGTTGGTAAAAAGATGTTTGGTAAAATTAGCTGTATAAATTAGCGATTAATATGTAAAATAACCTAAGGCGTACACATATATTTCATATTAATAATAATTATTGTTTAATAAAAGTAATACATTATAAAAAAAAAAAGAAGAAAAAAAAAACATAAGGGGATCCCGTTCAGCTCCCTTAGTTTTGCCACTTTTTCCTCATCGATGAAAAAAGTGGCATTGGAAAGGAGCCTTAAGGCTCCAAGTTAAACATAAAGCTTGCCCTTCCGTTGATGGGCAAGTAGTGAGCCAGCCAAACTAGCTCTTGCGTTCATGGAGCTGAAACGGCTCCACAGTAAACTTTTTTTTAAAAAATACATGGCGTTTTGGAGAAAGAAAAACTTTTTTCCGCAAAACGCTAAATGCAAACGATACAAATTGTAGAATTTGCATTTTCATCGGTTTAGCGTTTGGAGCAAACCAAACCGTTGAATAACCAAGAACCTTCTTTAGTGTTTTGACCAAGGTCAAAACGCTGAGTGGTGGATCCGTCAAAATTTTGATAAATCCGCCATTTACCAAACATTGCCCAAAGACTGGATCTTTCATTCCAACATGCCTAAAGAGAGCAAAACGTGGTGGTTGACATTTTGGTTGTTAAAGAAGTGTGTCACTCGAATAATACGTGGGTGGAATGGGAGGAACCTCTTCCCTATGTTTCGGGTGGATTCAGTCGGCTTGCCCCAAGGTAGCACCGTGTTAGAAGGGTGTCAATTGTAAGACACCAGACATTGCCCTCTCCTTATCAAAAAAAAAAAAAAAAAAAAGATCACACATATAATTCATAGACTAAGTTTACATTAGAGAACTAAAAATATAATTTTTCCAATTATTAATCGTTAACGCTAGCCCTGGCCAGCTTTATAAATTAGGTAACCTCTATACTCTAATGTAACCAATTCAACCCAAAGTGAAGTGTATTATATCTACAAAATGAGCTTCTCTATACTACTCCATACAATCATTGTTTTAGTTTTCTCCACATTCTTCCTTTGCAATACTTCCACCCCCCTCTCCAAACCTGGAAACTACACAGATCACCAAGCATTGCTTTCAATAAAAGCAAGCATAGTATCCGATCCTCTTCAATTTACAACTTCATGGAATGAGTCCACTCATTTCTGTGAATGGGCTGGAATCACTTGCGGCCGCAAGCATCAGAGAGTCACCAAAATTGATTTCCACTCCACCAAACTTGGTGGCTCTTTGTCACCATACATTGGCAACTTGAGTTTCCTCCGGGAATTGCTTCTCTACAACAATAGCTTTACAGGCATAATCCCAGAGGAAATTGGTCGGCTTTCAAGACTACAAGTGCTTAATCTCTCCAACAATTTGTTTTCAGGTGAAATACCAAAAAACATATCACACTGTTTTAACTTGATTACTCTCCGTTTGGATTATAATGACCTTACTGGCAGATTCCCTTTGGAATTTCAATCATTGTCCAAGCTTCAATACCTGGCTGTTTTTAAAAACAATTTGGTAGGAGAAATACCTGCTTATATAGGGAACTTTTCATCACTTGTAAAACTTTCTTTTATGGGTAACAACTTTGAAGGAAAGATCCCTGATTCTCTTGGCCAATTACACAAACTTTCTTTCCTTTCGCTGGCCATGAACAACTTGTCTGGAGCCATTCCCTCACCCATTTTCAATCTGTCATCATTGGAAGTACTTGAAGTATTATCTAATCGACTTCACGGCTATCTTCCACTAAATATAGGCTCCACTCTTCCAAGTCTTGAACATTTTAATATAGGCAATAATCATTTTATTGGGTCACTTCCCAGCTCAATATCAAATGCCACGAGACTTCGGCAGCTTGATGCCACTAGCAATGGTTTTACAGGAAGAGTTCCATCATTTAATGGACTCGACCAGTTAGACTACCTGGGGCTTAGTGACAATCCTCTTGGTAATGGAAAGTCCAATGATTTGGATTCCATGTTGTCTCAGCTTCTCAATAGTACGACTATGTTACAAGCCTTATTCCTAGCTGGCTGCAATTTTGGAGGGGTTTTGCCAAGAATTATAGGCAATTTTTCGAGGCTTAGGGGGTTTTCAGTAGCTGGAAATGTCATACTCGGAGATATTCCAAGTGAATTTGGTCTTCTTTTTAACCTGGAATACTTAGAATTGTATAGAAACCAGCTAAGTGGCACTATCCCGAGTTCATTGGGAAGTCTTCAATTGCTTAATTACTTAAACCTCGCAGGAAACAAACTGTCAGGGGAGATTCCATCTTCAATAGGAAATATGTCCATGCTGAGTAAACTCTACCTACAATCCAATAACCTACTTGGTTCTATACCAATAAGCCTTGAAGAATCCAAGAATTTGTTAGAGTTAAACCTTGCTAGAAACGAACTCAACGGCTACCTCCCTAAAGAGATTTTCCATTCTAGATCCTCACTAGTAAATTTGGACTTCTCTACCAATCACTTCACAGGTCCTCTTCCTTCAGAAATTGGTGGGTTGAAACATTTGGTCTCACTCAACCTCTCAAACAACATGTTATCAGGTGCACTTTCCAATACCCTCGGTTCTTTGGCTGGCTTGACTGATCTCAACTTGAGCTGCAATTTTTTCCAAGGATTTATTCCGTCTACTTTTGCTTCTTTAAAAAGCCTTCAAGCTTTAGATCTATCTCGTAATAACCTCACGGGAAAAATCCCAAAGTTTCTTGGTAATCTTCCATTCTTAAACCGCCTGAATTTATCTTTCAACGAATTTGATGGCGAGGTACCAAGTGAGGGAATTTTCAAAAACGAGAGCGATGTTGTACTTAGTGGTAACAACAAGCTTTGTGGAGGTATTCCTCTGTTTGGATTGCCAAAATGCACGAGAGAAGCAGGGTGAAGACACGGTCTATCTCGCATTAAAAAGTTGGCAATAATATTCATTTCAAGTGGGACTTTGGTTATAATATTATTGTTGGCTCTCTCTGTGTTTACATACAAGTGGAAGAACAAAAAATCTTCAACATTATTGGATTCTGCAACCATAGAAGAATTCATCATCCCTAAGTTGTCTTATTGGAGTCTTCAAAAGGCAACTAATGGATTCTCCGAATCCAACAAAATAGGTTTAGGAAAGTTCAGCAATGTTTATAGAGGCATTCTTGAGGATGGCTTAACATTTATTGCAGTTAAGGTGCTCAAACTTGATGTGAGAGGAGCATCTAAGAGCTTTTTAACTGAATGTGAAGCATTGCGACAAATTAGGCATCGAAACCTGGTAAAAATTTTGACCTCTTGTTGCAGCATTGATCATGAAGGTAATGACTTCATGGCCATAGTGTATGAGTATATGGTTAATGGTAGCTTGGATAAGTGGTTGCAAAATCATTCAGAAAACAGCGAAGAAAACAATGATCCAAGGAATTTGAGCTTGTTACAGAGAGTGAATATCGTAATTGATGTGACAAATGCACTTGATTATCTTCATAATCATTTAGAGACGTACTTAGTACATTGTGATTTGAAGCCTTGTAATATTTTGTTGGATGGAAACTTGGTTGCTCATGTAGGTGATTTTGGATTAGCAAAGTTTCTTCCTACACTTGCGTCTTCATCACACCAAATGATGAGTTCTGCGGGAATTAAAGGGACTATTGGATATGCAGCTCCAGGTATACTATGCATTTTCTTCATCTTAACTATACTTCTTTTATCCCTCCACCATCTTGATAAATCAGGTGTAGGGACTATGGAGGCGAAGGAATTTCATCTTTGTGAGCGAAAATAAGAATTCATAAAAAACATTATTCCTTTTGTTTAATTATTTGATGTAATTCAAAGAATTTATAAATGTACAAGCTTTAAATTAATCTTTTAACGCTTAGATTTGAATGTCTGCCAGAATATGGGATGGGAAGTGAATTGTCAACCTATGGCGATATATATAGTTATGGAATTCTTTTGCTGGAAATATTTACTGGTAAAAGCCCTACGAGTGATATTTTCAATAATGGTTTAACACTCCATAACTATGTTAGAGTGGCTCTACCTAAGCAAGTTACTGAGGTTGTAGATCCAAAGCTATTCCACACAAGTGCAAATGCGACATCTAAAAGTCTTGTACATCGAGATTTGATTCTAGAGTGCCTTATATCGATTTTTAAGATTGGAATTGCTTGTTCCGTGGAGTTACCAAGGGACAGAATGAACATTGGCAATGTTCTCAAAGAGTTGCATTCAATTAAAGACACCCTTTTGAAACTTGGAGACATTAATACCATCCCTTGGTGAGATTTATGTGTATTGCAATTTATTTAATTTCTTTTGTTGGCAATTTATGTTTTTTTTTTTTAATTAATGTAATATTCTTCGTTTCATGTAATTTTCAACACCAGCTGATTCCATGCTACCATGTGAATATTTGAAATTATATCACAATTATTTTCATATTAAAGTGACCCCAACGACACAATATCTTTTAGCTTTCCTTCATCGTAAGAGTGGAAGACCGATGATGCATATGAAAACGTTTTGAACGTTTTCTTTAAGTCTAAAGTTAGTTGATAAGTTTTAAATTTGTTAGCAATAAATGTAATCTCTCAAAGGCAAATGTTGCTCTCAGTATAAACGGGTAACCTAGAAACTTGAACTTTCACATTACTGAACATCTAGTTTTTTTAAGAGAGAAATAATCAAGCTCTTAAGATAAACTCATTGTTCTTAGCTCCAACTTGTTCTGAATCATCAAGATTCAAGGTGTCTAGCACCAACAACTTTCATTCATGAGGAATTTGGAGACTCTACACTCAAGGGGACTTGGTGGAAGATCTATCCTTGCAACAGAAAAGTCAAATATATAGTAAGGCCAATTTATAGGTGATACATCTATTCTGAAGGACTATCATTAAAGAGTTGAGCATGTAGCTAGGGAACTTTGTGATTGATACTTTTTGAAACGCTCTCCATCCACTTTTACTTTGTAACAATACATCTTAAATTCCTCCTAAACTACGGGAGAATTGTGGAATGGAGGACTTCCTGAACCATTATAAAAATCTCTCTATCTTCACATATTTATTTACTTGCAAATTCGCGCACAAAATTAATCACTTACGCATTTAAATAAACGAAGCTGCAAAATCCTTCTTTTTTTAAGTAAATTCTTAGTGTTATGGAATATATATTTGATATATAGAATCTTTATATATTAGGTAGTTTAGAGATTTAGGTAGGTAGGACATATAGAAACTTGTTTGCTATTCGTAGTCTTCTAGCACCTATTCATAGGGCTTTGTATTCTCTTTTCTATAAGACAGTTTTCTATAAGACAGTTTGAGACAATATACGACAGCACATTAGAAACTCTCTCTCTTTCCTTTCGTAACATGATATCAGGGCCTTTACGATAAAGGGATTTTATGGGATATTAAATTAGTTTCCCACTTCAATTTCTTGGGCTATTTGAATACCCCATTTGTCAACAAATCCTCCCCAAATAGTTAATATGATTGGCTTCAAACTAGTTTTTATATATCTTTCTCCATGATATTAATAATATATTTGGTAAATAAATATATAACATTATTTTGTATAATAACCTTGCTATTTAATTAATTACAAGATAGTTAAAAAGAAGACAGTGAACAATGTAGTGAATATAATTAATTAATGACTTTGAAGGTAAGGATTGTTTGCATTGTAGAAAATAAAGACAATATAACTAATGAAATTATCTCTTTTTAAAAAATAAAAAAATATTTGATAATGAATAAATTTTTTTGAATAAAAGCATTGTTTACATCTAATTCTTAATTAAAGAAATGCATATATATTATTTTTGGTTGTAGCTACATAATAATTTATTTAATTTAATAAGAGTAATAGAATGAGGTGCTTACTTTTCATCCATAACAATGTCATTGATTTTTTATTTCCATTTGTTGAAACAAATTATTTAGGGAGTTTGTCAATAACAATTGCTACAATTGTTGTCAATAGAGGATGATGATAAAAAATTCGAAATATATAGTTACAACAAATATTGTTATAATGATATAGTAAAAAATTAACTTACAAATTTCTTTTGAATTTTTCATGCATTGATAAAATTCTGAGAATGATGTTTAAACTTGTTCAATTAGAGCTAGTGGGGTGTCAATATTGTCAATTCTTTGGACAATGGTCCTACCGTTTATTGTCCAAGTGTAGTTGTATTTCTGATCAACAACTTTGTAGTTAAGTCGCGCAGGTTTGACAATGATATTGTAAGAAAAAATTTCGTCTGATAAAAAATAAGGAAAATTGTAATTTATGTCCTCCATACGCATCTTGTGTAGTAAAGACGCCTATTGTCATTTACAAAAGACGCAAATGACTCATTTTGTACTAGTGAGTCTTGAATTATTAGTGGTGTAAATGTTGCCCTCAATTAGGGGTGTAAACGAGTCGAGCCGAGCTCGAGCTTGGGTTGGCTTGAGCTTGAGCTCGTTAAGGAAGGCTCGGCTCGAGTTCGAGCTCGAGCTCGGTCGAGCTCAACAATTGATGCTCGAGCTCGAGCTCGGCAATTTTCAGGCAGCTCGAGCAGCTCGATTATTCGAGCTCGAGTTCGAGCTCGATCTTGAGCTCGAGTTCTAGCTCGATTTTGGGTTCGAGTTCGGGCTTGTTATTGACCTCAAATTTGACCTGTTTGATTTTAAATTCATGTTCCAATTAAAAATAAACTACTTTGTTTTATCCATACATAATTGATAGTTGTCGGATAAATAAATTGACAGAGGCCGGAGACTACTCGACTGTCTTCGTGTCTCGTCTTCTGTCGGCTGAGTGCCTGAGCTAGGGCATGGGGAGTTGGGGAAGCGATAGAAGATTAGAAGGGTAGAAATTTAATTATTATTATTATTATTATTATTATTATTATTATTATTATTGTATATAATTATATATAAGGCTCGCGAGCGGCTCGACGAGCCACGAGCCTAGAATAATTAGGCTCGGCTCGAGCTCGATTATTAAACGAGCCGCTCAAGTTCGGCTCGAGCTCGATTTTGACCGAGATCGAGCCGAGCTTTGACCGAGCCGCTCGCGAGCAGCTCACGAGTAGCTCGGCTCATTTACACCCCTACCCTCAATTTTCAAAACGATACATATATTGCCCCTCCCATAGTGTAAAACTTGTCCCTCAATTTTCCTCCCGTACGGTATGAGATGGGCAATATATGTGCCGTTTTGAAAATTGAAGGGCAACATTTACACTACTAATAATTCAGGAGTAACATGTATAATTGACATATTATGAAGGGGCATAAATTAAAATTTTCTCTAAAAAGATTAATAGTACAATATTTATAAAGTAATGTACAATTGTACCATTATAGAAACACAGGCAACAAATATTAATATTATAATAACCTAAATTATTCCCAATAATGAAAAAACATAATTGAAATATTGAAACTAAATTCTTTTAAAAAAATGCAACAAATGATTTTCAAGATTCCTTATTTGTTAATGTTCAACTTTGAATGCTATGTATTTAGTCGGGCTAGTTATTTAACTAAAGTTCATGTTAAATTTTATATTGTATATTTTTTAATACAATATAATAGGAATGTGGTTAAATAATTAATAGAGGGTAAAGTAGAAAAATTAAAAAATTACTAAAATCATAATAATTTGAACCATTCATTTCATCACGATGAACATTTTTTTGTTCCAACCTACTTTTTTTGGCTGTTATAGTAGATAGTAAATTTAATTTTTTTTTTTTGAATGTAAATTTAATTTATTATAATATCTACTTATCTTAATTTTGATAATATTGGGCACATATGTTAGGAAATTATTTCTCACACGGACAACGCGCATTCAATGGCTAGTATAATTCTTATATATATATATATATATATATATATATATATATATATATATATATATATATATATATATATATATATATTTACATGCTACTGACTCTATTACAATGTAGTATCTGTTCATACATACTTTTCCAACCTACTGAAGCACAAAGAGCCAATACACCACTACCGGGGTTCGTTCATGTGACTTTCCCTCAAGGGGAGTCACAGAGGTGTCATTTGAGCACAAGGTGCTTGACAGTATAATTCTTAAATAACCACACACACATGCATATACTCTGATGAAGTCTAATTTTTTAACAATGGATTTAATTAACACGGGGTAGCCCGAATTACTAAACCTGATAAATAGGGAATAAATAATAAAATGAGAAAAGACAAGGAATATATGTCGCGGAGACAACTTTTGTATTGATAGTCGTTTGTAGGGTAATTAAAAGGTACATGTAATATTCAGACAAGATGTGGTGGTCCTAAACAAGACAAGAATGAGCTATTTTATTCCAGACAAGACTGAGTACGCGTGTACACGCTCGGGGCCTGGGACACCTCCATCGAAGCCACCCTCCGCTACAAGTCCCCGGATCGTGGCCACCCCTAGATGAGACCGACCCCAACCGGGGTTGACCTTAATTGAGGTCGACCCCAGCCGAGGTTGACCAAGGCCGAGGCTGTGACAACCCAAAATTTAATTTTCCAAATCCCGTTTTAAGAAAATCCAAACAGCCATTTTTCACTCTTACAAAATTTTTGCGATAAACACGGTGTTTGAATAAATCATTTTGAGTGACTTTTAAATAAATTGAACATTGAGAATTATCTATTTCTAAAAATCCTAAATTTCTGGGTACATCACGTGCGAAAGTTTTGAACTGAAAAAAAAAATCATTCTGAGTGAAACTGGGAGGAATCTGAGAAGCCTAAATCAAGTGTCTATCTATAACTCATTTTTGAGAAATTCATTTTTAACCCCAAACTATTTCGAATCTTGATTTTAGACCTTGGTCAATGAAGCTTGGTGGACCACAATCATCCAAACACTTTGTCCAATTCAACCTTTAGCCAAACTTTTACCTTTTTGCCCTCCACCAATCATTGTGTATCCTCCTTGGGTTTTGAACCCATATAAAAGGAATAGTAAGCTCATTTATCTTCTCCAGATTCCATTCTTGGCTTCCCAACCTTGAGCTCTGCAAGAACAAGGGAGAAACACAGTAAGGTTTCCAACATTCATTTCCATCCATTCATCTATCTTCCCTCCTAGTTTTCTTTCCTTTATTCCCAATATCTTAGACTCTCTTCTTAAGTTTTGTTGCTTGGTTTATTGAGGTGTTTCTTAAGTTTTGTTGCTTGGTTTATTGAGGTGTTTAGGTGGTGAAGGGGGTAGTGGTTGAGTAAGGAAGAGGAATGAATCCA